ATATTAGCTGGTTGGAATATCGCTGAGGAAGAGTGTGTGGGCGTGCGTGCGTGGTTGGCTGCAGTCCTTTGTGTGTGCGTGTGTGGCAGGTGGGCTGCAGTCTTACGCACACATATCAAATCAAATTTTATTGGTCGCATAAACATATGTAGCATATGTTATTGCGGGTGTAGCAAAAATGCTTATGTTCCTAGCTCCAACTGTGCAGTAATATCTGACAATATAAAACAATACACACAAAATATAAAGTAAAATAATGTAATTAAGAAATATAGATATATTAGGACGAGCAATGTCAATAAATGTCAATAAAATATATATGTATATGATGGGATGTATAGACAAAATGGACAGTATATTGATAGAATATGTAGTATATCTGTAGAATACATTGATAGAATAGTATATGTACAGCAATAGTTGTATAGGGTGGACTTGACTAGAATACAGTATATACATATGAAATGGGTAAAACAGTATGTAAACATTTTTTAAGTGACCGGTGTTCCATGACTATGTACATAGGGCAGCAGTCTCTCTGAGTCCCATGTGGTAGCCGGCTAGTAACATTGACTAAGTTCAGGAAAGCGTACTGGGCGGAGGCTGGCTAGTTGTGACTATTTAACATTCTGATGGCCTTGAGATAGAAGCTGTTTTTCAGTCTCTCGGTCCCAGCTTTGATGCACCTGTACTGACCCCGCCTTCTATATGATAGCGGGGTGAACAGGCCATGGCTCAGGTGGCTGAGGTCCTTGATGATCTTCTTGGCCTTCCGGTGACACCGGGTGCTGTAGATGTCCTGGAGGGCAGGCAGTGTGCCCCCAGTGATGTTTTGGGCTGACCGCACCACCCTCTGGAGAGCCCTGCTGTTGTGGACGGTGCAATTGCCATACCAGGCGGTGATACAGCCCGACAGGATGGTCTCAATGGTGCATCTGTAGAAGTTTGTGAGGGTCTTAGGGGCCAAGCCTAATTTCTTCAGCCTCCTGAGGTGGAAGAGGCGCTGTTGTGCCTTCTGCACCACACTGTCTGTGTGGATGGACCATTTCAGATTGTCAGTGATGTGTATGCCGAGGAACTTGAAGCTTTTTACCCTCTGCTGTCCACGATCAGCTCCTTTGTTTTGTTGACATTGAGGGAAAGGTTATTTCCTGGCACCACTCCGCCAGGGCCCTCACCTCCTCCCAGTAGGCTGTCTCGTCGTTGTTGGTAATCAGGCCTATCACTGTTGTGTTGTCTGCAAACTTGATGATTGAGTTAGAGACGTGCGTGGCCACGTGGCTGATCACGCACCCTTGTGGGGCCCCTGTATTGAGGATCCTCATAGCGGAGGTGTTGTTGCCACCTGGGGGTGGCCCGTCAGGAAGTCCAGGACCCAGTTGCACAGGGTTCAGATCCAGGGCCTCAAGCTTAGTGAGGAGCTTGGAGGGTACTATGGTGTTGAATGCTGAGCTGTAGTCAATGAACAACATTCTTACATAGGTATTCCTCTTGTCCAGATAGGATAGGGCAGTGTACAGTGCGATGACGATTGCGTCATCTCATGGATCTATTGGGGCGTTATGCAAATTGCAGTGGGTCTAGGGTGTCAGGTAAGGTGGAGGTGATATGATCCTTAACTAGCCTCTCAAAGCACTTCAACCCGGGACATATCCCAGTCCGCGTGATCAAAACAATCTTGAATCATAGATTCCGATTGGTCAGACCAATGTTGTACAGTCCGTATCATGGGTACTTCCTGTTTGAGTTTCTGCCTATAGGAAGGCAAGAGCAGAATGGAGACGTGATCTGATTTGCTGAAGGGAGGGCGGGGGAGGACCTTGTAGCCATACCGGAAGGTCAAGAATTTTAGCGCAGGCGATGTGTTGATAAAACTTTGGTAGTGTTTTCCTCAGATTTGCTTTATTTAAGTCCCCAGCTACAATAAATGCGGCCTCAGGATATGCGGTTTCCAGTTTTCACAAAGTTCAGTGTAGTTCCTTGAGAGCCGTCGTGGTGTCAGCTTGAGGGGGAATATACACGGCTGTGACGATGACTGAAGATAAAAAAATGTTTAACTAGGCAAGTCAGTTAAGAACAAATTCTTATTTACAATGACGGCCTACCCCGGCCAAACCCAGACGATGCTGGGCCAATTGTGCGCCGCCCTATGGGACTCCCAATCACGGACGGATTGTGATACAGCCTGGAATCAAACCAGGGTCTGTAGTGACGCCTCTAGCACTGAGATGCAGTGCCTTAGACCGCTGCGCCACTCGGGAGCCCCTCTGGAGGTAATGCGGTCGGCATTTGATTGTGAGGTATTCCAGGTCGGGGGAACAAAAGGACTTGAGTTCCTGTATGTTACCACAATCGCACCATGAGTAGTTAATCATGAAACAAACACCCCAGCCTTTCTTTTTACCGGAGAGTTCTTTGTTCCTGTCTGCACAATGTACTGAGAACCCAGCTGGCTGTATGGACAGGGACAGTATATCTGGAGAGAGCCACGATTCCATGAAATAGAGTATGTTACAGTCCCTGATGTCTCTCTGGAAGGAGATGGAATGCACGCCTCCTGAGTCGGACCAAAAGTCCACTCTGCACACCTCTTCTCTGTCGGCATTGCCTTGGAGCAGCCCTTGGGATGAGTGGAATTGCTTCGGGGGGTGCGAACAAAGGATCCAATTCAGGGAAGTCGTATTTCTAGTGGAAATGCTGGTGAGTGACTGCCGATCCAATATCTAAAAGTTATTTTCAGCTGTAGATATTAATGCAATAAAAATTAATCTAATATTAATAAAAACAGGAACAGCCAGGAACAGGGCATCCATGTCTATTGGCGCCATTTTGCCCATTTGTGTGTGTGTGTGTGTGTGTGTGTGTGTGTTGGGCTGCAGTGTTATGTGTGTAACTTAGTCATGCTCCGTGGCTTGGGCTCAGATGAGTAGTGCAGTGTTTGGTCTAAATGGCACCCTATTCCCTATCTACCCCATAAGGCTTTGGTCAAAGGTAGTGCACTATATAGGGAATAGGGTGCCAGTTGGGAAGGAACTTCAGTGATTGTAATATATATCATATATAATAATATATCCCATTTAGCAGACGCTTTTATCCAAAGCGACTTACAGTCATGCGTGCATAAATCTTTACGTATTGGTGGTCCCGGGAATCGAACCCACTACCCGGACGTTGCAAGCGCCATCCTAGTAACAACTGAGCTACAAAGGACCAAATGAAAAGACCACCTTCCTTTCTTCTTCAAGGTTATCACAGATATAGGACTGATAGATGTCCTGTGTCAAAGTACACAGACACACACCAGGGCTGAACCATATCAGAAAAAAATTGAATTTTGATTTTTTTAAACTAAATATTGCGATTAGGGTTTGACGTGCAATATAGATCAAAACACTTGGGTGAACTGTTAGAATCATATAAATAGAATGATTTATATTAACAAGAAAAGTGGAAAGCAGCATCGTTCTTGTTTGGAACAATCTGTTGACTGGATTTGCCCTAACAGAACAGAATGCAAATGTATAGTGAATCTAACAGTAAGGAGGAGGAACGGTGCAGCTTGAGTGACAAGGGCTAGCTTGTTTTGTGGGAAGCAATAGGAGAGAAAAAACGTCAACTTTAAAAATGGACGTTACATACGGCAGAGATACTTTTCAAAATATGGCATGTGGTATGGATCTTGTGCGATATGGATATTGCACATTTACATTTACATTTTACATTTTAGTCATTTAGCAGACGCTCTTATCCAGAGCGACTTACAGTTAGTATTGTGATTTCGATGTTAATTTTATTAATTGTGCAGCCTTAACACACACACACACACACTTCTCCTCCTCCTCCTCCTCCTGTGTCAAAGTAGGAAGAAAGCCTTTCACCTATCCTATGCTGTTAGATCTATGTTATAGATCTTTCATAGGAAACACGCAAAGAGAGTTCAAAGTGTTTGAAGAAGATAATTCAAATCAAATCAACGTATTGTAGCCTCTAACCTATTGTTATGAAGAGACTGCCATGCTGTTTTATGATGGTTGGGTTTAGGTTGATGTGTGGCTGTTTTGTGATGGTTGGGTTTAGGTTGATGTGTGGCTGTTTTATGATGGTTGGGTTTAGGTTGATGTGTGGCTGTTTTATGATGGCTGGGTTTAGGTTGATGTGTGGCTGTTTTGTGATGGTTGGGTTTAGGTTGATGTGTGGTTGTTTTATGATGGTTGGGTTTAGGTTGATGTGTGGCTGTTTTATGATGGCTGGGTTTAGGTTGTTGTGTGGTTGTTTTATGATGGCTGGGTTTAGGTTGATGTGTGGCTGTTTTATGATGGTTGGGTTTAGGTTGATGTGTGGCTGTTTTATGATGGCTGGGTTTAGGTTGATGTGTGGTTGTTTTACGATGGCTTGGTTTAGGTTGTTGTGTGGTTGTGTTATGAAGTTTGGGTTTAGGTTGTTGTGTGGTTGTTTCGTGATGATTGGGTTTAGGTTGTGGTGTGGTTATTATATGATGTTTGGGTTTAGGTTGTGTGGTTGTTTTTTGATGGTTGGGTTTAGGTTGTTGTGTGGTTGTTTCGTGATGATTGGGTTTAGGTTGTGGTGTGGTTATTTTATGATGTTTGGGTTTAGGTTGTGTGGTTGTTTTTTGATGGTTGGGTTTAGGTTGTTGTGTGGTTGTTTCATGATGATTGGATTTAGGTTGTGGTGTGGTTATTTTATGATGTTTGGGTTTAGGTTGTGTGGTTGTTTTATGATGGCTGGGTTTAGGTTGTTGTGTGGTTGTTGTGTGATGTTTAGGTTGTGTTATAATTGTTGGTTTTAGGTTGATGTATGGTTGTTTTATGATGGCTGGGTTTAGGTTGTTGTGTGATGATGGTTGGATTTAGGTTGTGTTGTAAGTCGCTCTGGATAAGACCATCTGCTAAATGATGTAAATGTAAAATGTTGTGGCTGTTGTGTGATGGTTGGGTTTAGGTTGCTGTGTGGTTGTTTTCTAGACGGCTGGAGTGGAACTGATGGTGAAGTCAGTGAACATCCCAGAGACCAGCGACAGTGTGGTGAGTACACACTCCCTAGACTGACTCCCTAGTACACACTCCCTAGACTGACTCCCTAGTACACACTCCCTAGACTGACTCCCTAGTACACACTCCCTAGACTGACTCCCTAGTACACACTCCCTAAACAGACTCCCTAGTACACACTCCCTAGACTGACTCCCTAGTACACACTCCCTAGACTGACTCCCTAGTACACACTCCCTAGACTGACTCCCTAGTACACACTCCCTAGACTGACTCCCTAGTACACACTCCCTAGACTGACTCCCTAGTACACACTCCCTAGACTGACTCCCTAGTACACACTCCCTAGACTGACTCCCTAGTACACACTCCCTAGACTGACTCCCTAGTACACACTCCCTAGACAGACTCCCTAGTACACACTCCCTAAACAGACTCCCTAGTACACACTCCCTAGACTGACTCCCTAGTACACACTCCCTAAACAGACTCCCTAGTACACACTCCCTAAACAGACTCCCTAGTACACACTCCCTAAACAGACTCCCTAGTACACACTCCCTAGATAGACTCCCTAGTACACACTCCCTAGATAGACTCCCACACTCCCTCTATATAGGCTAGAAGCTAGGCTGTTTACAGAAGCAACCAATCTGGAGTTCTTTCATACTGAAAATAACTTTGTGATGATTGACAGTATTTCTCTCTCTCTCTCCCTCTCAGGAACTGTACATCTTTGACTCTGCCGGGAAGGAAGCCTTTGTTGAAGCATGTGAGAAGTTGGTGAGGCCCACCACGTATCTACTTTTCAAAGTTATAAAGGATTCACTACTTTCTCGTTCCCTCATCTCTCTCTTTTGCTGAATGTTCAATGGATTCAACATTCAATATTTCTACTCTCTCTCTCTCCCTCCATCACCCCCTCTCGATCTCTCTCTCTCACTCCCCCCTCTTTCACCCTCTCTCACCCCCTCTCTCCCTCTACAGTGGGGCCAGCCGTCTGTGTTGTGTCTGGTGTTTGACATGAGCAGTGAGCTGTCATTCAGTAGCTGTGGCCGCTGGCTGGAGAGGGTCAGGGCCCACTGCCAGGGTCTGCACATCCCAGGTACCACACACCCTATCGGGCCACACATTTCAGCTGTGACCCCCTGTATCTGGAGGTACTTGATCTTAGTGCTGTTTGTGTGTGTATGTGTGTTATCAACTTCTGTTAATTGTGTGTGTGTGTGTGTGTGTGTGTGTGTGTGTGTGTGTGTGTGTGTGTGTGTGTGTGTGTTGTGACGTTCAGGTGTGTTGGTGGGTAACAAGTCGGACCTGTCCTCGCGGAGGGAGGTGGAGACCTCGGTGGCCCAGGAGTGGGCCCAAAGCCAGGGGCTGGAGTACCACGAGACGTCCGCTGTGAGTGCACCCACACCTGAACACAACAGACAAGCTCATAGGCTTCTGGAGCCAAAGTGCCAACACCATGTCCAAAAACAGTATACACTCTAACAAAGCTAAGATTTAAATGTTTCTCATTCTCTGTGTGTGTGTGTGTGTGTGTGTGTGTGTGTGTGTGTGTGTGTGTGTGTGTGTGTGTGTGTGTGTGTGTGTGTGTGTGTGTGTGTGTGTGTGTGTGTGTGTGTGTGTGTGTGTGTGTGTGTGTGTGTGTGTGTGTGTGTGTGTGTGTGTGTGTGTGTGTGTGTATGGTGTCTGTATTGCAGAAGGAGATGGAGAACTGTGAAGCTCCCTTTCTGAGTCTAGCCCAGGCGTTCCACGCTCTCTACCAAGACAGACTACAGACCATACAAAACCTGGCCTAACATTCTGGAACCTGGCCTAACATTCTGGAACCTGGCCTAACTTTCTAGAATCTGGCCTGACAATCTTGAACCTGAACATTCTAGAACCTGGCCTAACATTGTAGAACCTGCAGAACCTGGCCTAACACATATAAATATCTATTACATTGTATATATTCTGTTTCTATGGCATCTAGAAAGGATATATGGATTATATTTCTATGGCCTAGCATTCTAGCACCTGGACCAACATTCTTGAACTTGGCCCAACATTCCCTAATGGAAAAATACTACCTCTGACAGTGAGAAATCCACCTACATTGGGGTGGAGATTAAGATGAAACTGTTATCTATTTAAGACAATAATACATGTTATGTATATTCTTCATGTTGTCTGAGTTATGCAGGAGAACATGATAACTTGTATATTTTTTACAGTTCTGCATATGAGGGACCTTTCCATCCCTCTCTCCCTCCATCACCCACTGTCTCTCTCCTCTCCATCCCCCCTTTCTGTCCATCAATCCCGCTCTCTCTGTCTCTCTCCACCCCCCCCCCCCCTCCTCTCTCCATCTGTCTCTCTTTCTCCATTTGCAGCTGGAGACCTTCACATCATTTCCAAACCCGTTTGGTTGTTTATTCGTTAACAACCCTGTAATTACTGTTCTAATGAACCTCCTCTCATTAGAACGGGGTCAGACCCACGGTCCTATAATAGCCTCTCATGTCTAACACACACACACACACACACACACACACACTGCAAACATACACACAGACCCACGTCCATGTTAGCCACTTATGTCAACACACACACACACACACACACTATGCTATGAGGCCTCTTTTGAACTAGGCTGTCCGTCCGCCTCAAAGCCACTCGTTCATGGTGATTGAATCTCATATTATGCCCCACATTAAAATAGACTGCTGCCTTGGAATTCTGTTCCCATAACTACTGATAGCATAATTACATGATGCTGAGGGTTATCAGTTATGATACTGTGTTATGGTAACTGTTGTTTTAATACAGTATGTGGCTTTATGGTTTGGTCTTTAATGTTAAATATGTGGTTAATCTGTAGCTAGCTATGCAATCTTAAATATAATTACATTTAATAGATGCAATATTCAATATATTATACATATTTAATAGTTTTTGAATGCATTCTAGAGAGTCATGATGAGTTTGGGGGGAAGATTTAAGCGGTCGGTTCCACACATTGACAGACAGACAGGCAGCATCAATGTCCTTGCTTTGTAAATGTGTGTGTATATGTGTGTGAGATGGAGAGAGAGAGAGAGAGAGATATTGGTTCTGGCATGGCTTGGGGTAGAGTTTGGCTGCGTTGTATCCAGTCTGGCGTGGTGTGTGTGTGTTGGCATGATGTGTGCGTAAACCAGGGTGCCTGGCTAAGACTGAGACTGGCCTAGCAGGGTGGAGGGGGACCCCTCACCATGGAGGTCTGGCATGGAGAGACAGGGGGGAGCCATGACCACACACACACACAGGTTTAGTGCAAGGGCACCATCTGGGACAGGGAGTTTCCTGACACACACACACACACAGCCTCCATCCCATCTGTCATCAGCAGGACACAGCCAGGGAGGTGTGTGTCACACTCACTAGGGTGAAGGCCACCTGTTACTACTGTGAATGAGTTTATAACACTCACAATATAAACATCAGAATCAATATAAAAAGCACTTCACTAAAATACTGCACCAAAAGCATCATAACTTTCCCCAGCGTCCTTCCCAAGCCCTTGTGTCAGCCTCTAAACATGGAATCCGCAGTCGGGGAAAACAGCGCCACTGGCCGCCACACCGCCGTTGTTATGGTTTTTGTTGCGAATTGAGGAACGTCACGCAGCATGTTACAAAAAATTCCAGTACATATTGTGCTCTTCTATCGCACGTGCAATTATGTCAGAGGGGATAAAACAGTATTCATTGTCAGCAGTAACTTTTTTGTTGTAATATTGCAAACAGACGTGGCAGTTTAAACATTAATGATTCCAACTTTAAAAGCTGCTTAAAATGAAATTTCAATGAACGTTTGCATGTGCATTGGTGTGTGTGTGCGCGCGCGTGCGTACCACCGTGTGTGTGAAGCCTACTAGACCGTAGCTAACCTAGCTACCGCACAGACTGCTATTGGTATTCTGCACCTGTCCTCCTCAGCCAAGGAGTGTGTGTGTGTGCGTGCGTGCGTGCGTGTGTGTGTGCGTGCCCTGCCACAAACCCACAGCACCCCTGTTGACTGGCTGGCTGCAGTATCGCCACCGGCCACAAGAGGGGGCAAGAAATACAACATTTACATTTACATTTTAGTCATTTAGCAGACGCTCTTATCCAGAGCGGCTTACAGTTAGTGAGTGCATACATTATTTTTATTTTATTTTTCATACTGGCCCCCCGTGGGAATCGAACCCACAACCCTGGCGTTGCAAACGCCATGCTCTACCAACCGAGCTACATCCCTGCCGGCCATTCCCTCCCCTACCCTGGACGACGCTGGGCCAATTGTGCGCCGCCCCATGGGTCTCCCGGTCGTGGCCGGCTATGACAGAGACAGACTTTCTGGGAGATGTAAGATGTATTCGTGAAGTTTCTCGGAGAAGGAGTGATGATCTAGGATCAGGTTCCAACTGTTCATATAATTGTATTCATTATGATCTAAAAGGCCAAACTGATCCTAAATCAGTACTCTGAGACGCTTGGTAAAATACTCACATAGGAGTGCTTATTTGGGATCAGTTTTGCCTTTATATGTCGGCTCAACCGGAAATGTTAATGGCGCATTGTCATGTCTAAATCCACGATCGGACTGAATCCTTGAAGCCAAGGTGATGTTGTTCTGTAGGATAAGGGATAGACATGGCTTGCGTCCCAAATGGCACCATATTCCCAGCGCACTACAGTTGACCAGGGACCTATGGGGGAATGACCCTAAATAGGGAGTAGAGTGTCATTTGGTATGCAGAAATGATAGGATACAGCAGCTTGCTTGGTCATGGTTGGACAGCATTGGAGTGGATAGCCCTGGGCTAGATAACATGGCACAACAGGGAACTAGGTCTGCCTGCCTGTTTGTCTGCCTGCCTGTCTTTCTGCCTGTCTAAAGTTCATCCTTCTCTCACCTTTCACCTTCTCTCTTTGTTTATCATCTCTTTTTTTTAACTCCTTTCCTCTCTCTCTCTCTCTCTCTCTCTCATCCTCCCTTCCTCTCTCCCTCCATCCCTCTTTTCTCTTCCCCTCTCTCCCCCCTCCATTCCTCCCTCTCTCCCCCTCCATTCCTCCATTTCTCCCACCCCCTCCATTCCTACCTCTCTCCCTCCCCCTCCATCCCTCCCTTCCCTCCCTCCCCCTCCTTCCTTCTCTCTGTAGGTGGAGGTACAGACTGTTCTATCGTCCTTTCGCCCCAAACTCTTTGTGACCCACAGAGCTCATTAAGAGGAGCAGGTGAGAGAGGACAGAGCATCTGTTCTAACAGGCAGCGCAGTATACTGGTAACACACAAATCAGTCACCACACCTCAACACAGTATACTCACCCAAACATTACACTATATGGGGTTGGTTTCTTGGCATATCATTCATGCTTGGAGTTATGAGTTGAGTTATGTGTTGTGAGTGACGACTCGTTGCCTTCATCAATGAGGTCACAGAAAAGAACAGGATGTACACGAGGACAGTGGTATAACATGATTAAATGATTCCACCTCCAAGCCAGAGGAGGGCAGTGTGTGGCTGGCCCACTCTGACTAATATGAAGGACCCCCCCCCCCCCCCACTCTCTGTCGATTTCTGTGTCCCTTCTCTCCCTCTCTGTCGATATCCCTGTCCCCCCTCCCTCGCTCTCTCTTTCTCAATCTCTTCCCCCCTCACTCTCTCCTCTTCAGTGATCACACAGCAGCACTGTAGAGAGACATGCCAGAACCTTTGATCCCACCACACCAGGGGAGAGAGAGAGAGAGAGAGAGAGCAGGGGGTAGAGTGTGTCACATATACTGGGACAGGCTAGTGTTCTACATTCTACTAGAACTCTGACATAATTATCACCACTGATGGAATGGCACAGACAGGAGCAAAGGATGGATGGATGGATGGATGGATGGATGGAGGAGAAAAGGAGGACAATAACCGCTTGCAAAGAGGATCTGTTGATAAAGATAGAAGATCATTTCCACAACCAGAACCACATCACCTACACACACACACACACACACACAAAATCAGCTACTCAGTTTCAAGCCAGTCATTAGACTAATAGAGAGGAAGAGGAAGTAGAGAGGAAGAAAAGAGGAAGAGGAAGAAGAGAGGAAGAGGAGAGGAAGAAGAGAGAAGAGAGGAAGAGGAAGATAAGAGGAGAGGAAGAGGAGAGGATGAGATTAATTGACATCATCCACAGTGAAAAAACACTACAGTCAGGACACTAGTCAGAGATCAATATGAACATGGCAGTGACCTACAAGCACACATACTGTACAACATACAAACCACCATACTTTTTATTGCATTGATGAAGTGACTGAGCTGTATATGTGTGTTCATAGGCGGGAAGTAATTTGGGGGTGGAGGTCTGGGGGTGCTGCGATGCAGAATTTCTTTAGGGCCCGCGCTTCAGGCTATATGGGTCCACTAATACAGGACTAGTAAAGGCCCAGTGATACAAATGGCTATATGGGTCCACTAATACAGGACTAGTAAAGGCCCAGTGATACAGATGGCTATATGGGTCCACTAATACAGGACTAGTAAAGGCCCAGAGATACAGATGGCTATATGGGTCCACTAATACAGGACTAGTAAAGGCCCAGAGATACAGATGGCTATATGGATCCACTAATACAGGACTAGTAAAGGCCCAGAGATACAGATGGCTATATGGGTCCACTAATACAGGACTAGTAAAGGCCCAGAGATACAGATGGCTATATGGATCCACTAATACAGGACTAGTAAAGGCCCAGTGATACAGATGGCTATATGGGTCCACTAATACAGGACTAGTAAAGG